GAGCCCTGACTTAAACCCAATTGAGCATCTCTGGAGAGACCTGAAAATGGCTGTCCACCAATGTTTACCATCCAACCTGACAGAACTGGAGAGGATCTGCAAGGAGGAATGGCAGAGGATCCCCAAATGCAGGTGTGAAAAACTTGTTGCATCATTCCCAAAAAGACTCATGACTGTATTAGCTCAAAAGGGTGCTTCTACTAAATACTGAGCAAAGGGTCTGAATACTTATGACCATGTGATATTTGTTTTTCTTTAATAAATCTGCAAAAATGTCAATTCTGTGTTTTTCTGTCAATATGGGGTGCTGTGTTTACATTAATCAGGAAAAAAATGAAAAATGATTTTAGCATATGGCTGCAATATAACAAAGAGTGAAAAATTTAAGGGGGTCTGAATACTTTCCGTACCCACTGTATAAGTGGTCTCACTGTTTAAGTACTCATATAGACTGTGGAAGCAAATCAGAGCAGTACAAATTTTAATCTCATAAGCAACTAAATACTGAATTATAAAACAGCCACCACTGAATATTTACTGTTGAATTTACATACCACACTGAATTAATAGCATTGAAATGTTAATTGGGAAAAGTTAATTGGGAAAACATCTTTATGAATTTTTATTTATTTCCTCTTAAGTTTCAAATAGGTCATTACATGTGATGCAACTTCACAAAATCTGATGTAATTTTTTTTTTTTTTAGCTTTCACAAATTCAGGTAGTTTCCACGTTGTCAGTGAACATAAAACAATATTTACATTGTTCAAGAAAAAAATCAAGCCATAAATCACTGCAAATATTCAGCAGTGGTTAAAGTTTAGAATTAGTGCACTGAGAGAATTATTGCAGCTATTATTTGTTTCCATACTGATACCAGTTCTAGCAGCACCACAGCATCTGCAGGTTTAAGGCAATAGCAAAAATAATCCAAACTATTTAAAAAAACAAGACATGGGCTGTAAGGAAAGCACTTTCCTTTAATGTGTTTATTAAAATACAGGGACACTAGATGCATGATGCATATGATATCCTGTTGATTTACAGCGTGGAGGTTTTCACTGTAGGAGTCCCACTGTGTCATTTCAGCTGTCGTGCACCACAACCCCTTCCCCTAAACACTCTAAGAATATTGTGGATTTGGTCATCTCTCCTCTCTTTGCTGACTTTGTCTGTCCAGCTGTGCATCACTGTATGTCCTATACTGAGAAGCAGGGTGAGCCAACACTCCTAGCTATGGGAGACAGCAGTTAATTGTTCATTTGATGGGAGTAACATATACAAAATGTGCATGTACAGTGGCCAACCCTTTCACTTTATGAATATGAAACTGTCCTATAGCCAAATAGATCATTCATGTATTGCTGTTGTCTATTTATAAAAATGCAGTTCCTCTTGTATCCAGTAGAGAGCAGCTCATCCTCTCTACTCTCACCACTCAACCTCACCGAAAAAAATTCACATCAGCTCAAGAAATAAAGCACTTTCACTGCTGCACAACCTACAGATTTACACACTACACAGTATTAAACAAAAGCAAAGGGAAACAACTGAGATAAATTTGAGGACAGTTGAGATGCACTGACAAAGACTTGCAACCCTCTTCAAAAAAATAAATAAATAGCAAAGCATTTTATTTTTGATGGAGCAAAATAAAAAGCCAGTCATGAGGTGTTCATGCAGCAGTCAGTGTTACAAGCATAATGGTATCTGTAAGGTTCTCAAAGGCAAATTCAGGACTTTTTAAGTCCTTTTAAATGGAACGTTAAGCTCATCTGCAACCAATTCAACACCAAAGAGAAAAAAGATCTGATGTTCCAGTTTGATATAGTGCAGGGATACAGTAACTAATTCATTTATTCACCCAAAGAGTACAGTAAAAAGAAATGAGTTCAGTTACATTTTCTTCATCTCAGCACCTTTTATTTACAATGCCTGCAGATACCTTGAGACAGAATTTGTGTGATATTTGTGAACTAGTTGTAAAACATTTCAGACAGGCCTGGTGTCATCTGCTTTCAGTGTGCTCACCTTGAAAATTTGCTAGGTCCCTCACCATCTTCGTCATCAAAGTCCATTCTGAGAAATAACCACAGGAAACACAGTTACTACTTCTGTTACACTGAGAGCCAGCACAGCTGCCTCAGGATTAAATCCCCTATGTTTTCAGGTAAATAAAAACTAACAAAACGTAAACTCACAGTGATAGTTGTAGACAGCTCGTTTGGCTCTGCTGCTACAAAGTGACAGCTAACAAATACATCAATAGGTCATTGGGCCTCATTTACCAAGCGTTCAGGAAGAAATGTCTTAACTTATGCAGTTTTTACAAATATTCTGACATTCACCCATGCCTTCTTATTTGTTCTTAACAGTAGACTCTACATGCACTCAATAGCACACCTTATGCCAGGCATGGGCAAACTACGGCCCATTAGGCTTTTTAATCCAGCCCGCCGAACTTGTCCAAATTATATTATTAAATTATGTTATCATTAAACCTCATTCGTTTTGCCTTTTCCCTAAGATCTACCCACAAATTTTCAATGATGTTTAAATCAGGGGACTGTGATGGCCATTCCAAAACCTTCAGCCTGCGTCTCTTGAGGTATTCCATAGTGGATTTCGAGGTATGTTTAGGATCATTGTCCTGTTGTAGAAGCCATCCTCTTTTCAGCTTCAGCTTTTTTACAGATGGTGTGATGTTTGCTTCCAGAATTTGCTGGTATTTAGTGGAATCCATTCTTCCCTCCACCCGTGCAATGTTTCCTGTGCCACTGGCTGCAACACAACCCCAGAGCATGATAGATCCACCCCCATGCTTAATAGTTGGCAAGGTGTTCTTTTCATGAAATGCTGCTCCTTTTTTTCTCCAAACATGCCTTTGCTGATTGTGTCCAAAGAGTTCTATTTTAACTTCATCAGTCCACAGCACTTGTTTCCAAAACGCATCGGGCTTCTGTAGATGTCCTGTTGCATACTTCAGACGTTGGATTTTATGATGGGGACGCAGATAAGGTTTTCTTCTGCTGACTCTTCCATGAAGGCCTTGTCTGTGCAAGCATCGCTGCACAGTGGAACGGTGCACCACCACTCCTGAGTCTGCTAAATCTTCCTGCAGGTTTTTTGCAGTCAAATGGGGGTTTTGATTTGTCTTTCTGACCAGCATACGAGCAGTTCTGTCCGAGAGTTTTCTTGGTCTTCCAGATCTCATCTTGACCTCCACAGTTCCCCTGATCTGCCATCTCTTAATTACATTTCTTACTGTGGAAACTGCAAGCTGACAACGCTTTGCTATCTTCTTGTAGCCTTCTCCTGCATTGTGGGCATCAATAACTTTCATTTTCAGGGTCTTACACAGCTGCTTAGAGGAACCCATGGTTGCTGGGTGTCCACAAGTGTGTGCACAAGGTTTGAAGAGTCAAAGTATTTGTACAGCTTTGAAATTGGCATTTACCAATGACAGCTGTTGCTGTGCATCAGATCTAACGAGCTGATTAAGGTCTGATACCTTGTGAGAGACTTTGAGACTCTGGAACTCTTAGGGTGCCCAAACTTTTGCACCATGCCATAATCATGTTTTTATTTTTTATTTTTGTTCAATTTATGGCATAAGAAGTAACTATGCATCACTGTTTGCAGAAAATATTGTGCATTTTTTCCATTTCCAAGAGAAACTGTGTTAACATCTGTTCAAATAAAAAATCACCAAAATCTGTTATTTATCAAGGGGTGCCTAAACTTTTGCATAAGACTGTAAGTCTGTATGGCGCTTAATCATGTCGTGAATCCTGTCGTAAGACTTGTTACTTTATACGAGCAAGGGGACTTCAGCACTGTCAGTTCATTGCGTTCTTGGAGGAAACCGATGCAGATCACCAGGACTTACTTTACCACTCTTGTGTCAGCTGGTTAAGATTGGGCAAAGTGTTTCAACAAGTGTTAGAGCTCAAAGAGGAGCACTTTTTTGGAGTTAATGGGGAAATCTGATGAATTTCCTAAGCTGAGCGACAAGAAATGGCTTTGTGACTTTGGGTTTGCTGTGGACATTTTTTCCACACATGAATGAGCTAAACGTGAAGCTACAGGGGAAAGATCACTGTGTACACGACATGTACACAAATTCGATCTTCAGTCTGACTCCGTTTTAAAGGAGAAGTTCAACTCTCTTAAACTGAATGACTTTTATGCTTTACGTAATGAAGCCACGTTTCCAAACCTTCAGAGGATGGCACAGAAGATGCTGGCGTTGTTTGGAGCTGAACATCAACAAAGCCAGTCACAGATCCATGTTAACTGACCGACACCTCAGATCTATCCTGAGAATAACCACAGCAAAACTAATTCCAGACTTTGATGCACTGGCTAAAAAGGAAGACCAACAACACTGTTTGCACTGAAACTGAAGGTTTATTTCTCTATTGTGCTATGAAAAAATGCATTTGGAGAATAATTTGCATAATAATCCTTGCATATTCATGCTTTGCTACCTGTTAAAGGCCAAAACCTTTTATAGAATGGCTTTAATATGTCATTTATATTAGTTCACACAAACACTCCATCCTTCTGCTCCTGGCTCTGTCAAATTTTAGAACCCATTGTGGCCCGCGAGTCAAAAAGTTTGCCCACCCCTGCCTTATGCTCACTGTAGTTGGCTATTTTTGCTTCAGTATATTGTGTACTTATGACTTTCTAGAGATTTACAACAACACTAATACAGGGGTCCAAACAGCGAGTTATGAGTTGCATTTTGCAACCAAATTTTATTGAGGTACAATATTAGAGCAATTTTCATCTGCAGTTTCTTTATTCTGCAATCAAATATAACACATTTGAAAGCAAACCGTTGGTACTACAATCAAGACAAATTTATTTGCAGCCAAAAAAAGTGTGGATGTCAAATACAAAGTGCTTGAAATCAGAACTATTTTCATTTCAAACAAAAATATATAAATATAATTTACCCACTTTTTTCTTTGTTTGCAGTTTGTCTGCTTTGGTTGTGCTCCTAAAAGCTTTGCTCTCGGTGCACAGGTTTTTTGCTTGCAGAGCCTAAGTCTTTGGTTGCGAATCAAGAACCTTTCCAGGTTCATATTTTTTGGTTTCATGTCTGAGGAGGGGGAATACTGCATCTCTATTGGCCAGTGAGGAGCCAGTGACTTTGGCTGGAAGTCTCTGCCCTTTACTGTTATTAATTCATTCACATTCCAGGGACTGATTTGTACTGAAGCCACTCATGAAGAAAATCATGTCAGATGAGCTTGTACACAATATTGCTAGTCTTTAATTTAAAAAAAAGGGTTTATTTATTTTTAAGTACAAATTTAGGCATCTAATGTGTTTATTGCCAGTCTAGGATCATCAGTTTATAACAGCAGCAGTGGCACACAGCCAAGTTCTAACTACTAGCAACTAGTCATTTAAGACTATCTATCTCTCTTTCAATATATCCATTAGGGATGGGCAATACATTTCAAATATTCAGAGTCATTAAATATTTGAAAAAAATATGAATATTTCGTGCAACTATGGTTTTGTCTTTAAAGTGCCCATGGTGCTATTCCTTGTTTTCTGACTTACAGTATCTACAATGTTACAACAGTGAATTATCATCTGATGAAAGCTTAAGGATTTCCTTGAATGGTCATAATCACCAGGCAGTTGCACATTCATGTGAGCCTAACATCTACTGGTGCCATCGTAAAAGCATAATTTTTGACTGTGCTTGGTTTTGTGGATATATTTTCCCTCCTGCTGCTGCACTGTGACCAGAGGATGTGGGGAAAAATACAGGGCCTGAGGTTACTATATGTCTGGAAATGTCCCTGTTCAGGGACTCACCGTTTTACCTAACCAGGTCTAACCTACAGGCAGCCACTAGTGAAGCTCCCTGCAGCGGTGAATGATCAGCTCAACGCTGGATTCCCCCAGAGCACAGAACCTGTTTGTTTTGACTGCTTGAGTCCAGTGTGTCTGCCGCATGTGCTGTGATGTGTTGCTGATTAACTAGCGGATTAATGACACATGATGTTATTGTCGGTGCTACACTACCTGTTGGAGTTAGTTTCACAACTATGGGACTGTATGTGGTCGTGTGGGGGAAGACGCAGCGACCACCGATTGGATTTACTAACCTTGGAGCTACTTGGAAGGGAGCAATGTTTTCACTACTTGGAGGGACTTAACTAATAGTGTAAAAAAAAAAAAAAATAAACAAAAAACACACATTGCATGTCTGTTAATGTCTTGTTTCTGTTATGTTAGAGAGAATTGTTGTAAGGCTGGAGAAGTTACAATGTCTGCATTATGCCAGATAAAATATGGGGTTTCTCAATTACCCACTTTGTTTAGAGTGTTACACATCTCTTTTCATTGGTACATACTGTATACTGTTGTTGACCTATTTATGGAGGAGACATTCAGATTAATTAATGCTGTTGCAATTTGTCGTGCTGTCCACTTTCACATTCTGGCTCGAGCCTGTCAGGTAGGATTTGAGGCATTGTCATTATTGAAAACGCTGTCCCAGCTTCCTGACCAGTCTTGTGTCAAAAAATGTTCAAGATGTGTTTCCCCTGTTCAAAACCTGGTTTCAACTCGGTGGTTGTGGTTAGGATAAACTTATGATCCAGGCTAGGGCAAACACATCTCGATGAGAAAACAGACACTGACACAACACTGGCAGTGTTGTGTCCATTATCTATACGGTTTATCCTAGTGAGGGTCATGGGAGGGTGGAGCCAATCCCAGCTGTCCACCCTGGACAGGTCGCCAGTCTAACACAGGGCTGACAGAGACACACAACCACACACACTCACACTCAGTGCTATGGGCAATTTAGAGTCGCCACTCAACCTAAGCTGTATGTCTTTGGACTGTGTGAGGAGTCTAGGATACCTGGAGAGAACCCACACCGGCACAGGGAGAACATGCAGACTGCACACAGAAAGGCACCATGTCGGCCCGGGCTCAAACCCGGAACCTTCCTGGTATGAGGCAACACTGCACCACCATGCTGCCTCTCAGGTTTTAACTTTCCAAAATAATTACAGACTATTTGGATTTAGGATGGCTGCAAA